TGGGCACAACCAATTGTGCTTTTCCCCTTGTCGATTGCTAATATCCTTCTCTAGATGTTTTCTTTCCTCATTCATTCGCAGTACATACTTGGCATCCACCCCAGTACCAGGGATGCTACATGAGTCGCTTCCGCCAATCCTGACATCAGTGTTGCTCAGTGGCTCATCCAGGAGCAGGTGTTGAACACTGATAGAAACAGAATTTTGTCCGCCAAATCCCAAATCCTCCTGTTTTCAGTCTCCATTGGCCAATGGAACACTCTTGCCAAAGTTATTTCCAAATTCAAGTCGCAGGCATGACAGTTTATTATGCTGCCTGCCAAAACTGGTGGCCCATGGAAGCTCTTATTTTAAAAAATTTTTAAATAGAATACATCTTTGTGTCAAATAAGTATCTTGTGATTTTCAGTGACATACTTCTATTTTTGTGGCTATATCTAAAATGAGTAAGTTGAGATTATGTGCAATTAATGCTATAGTAACAACTGTTATTTAGTACAGTAAACTAAGCAATTATTACAGGGCTGTGTAAATCATGGATCATTTATGGTCGGGAATGTCAGAAAAATTATAAAGATTATCGAGGAAATCTAGCCATTTTTAAATTGTGGTTTGAAATTGCTAATGTAATTCTTCAAATAAACCATTTGTATTATGAAGAATTTCTCTAGATGATTAATTATTCATTTGAAATAATGTAAATAACTCATATGGACTTCTTTAAATAATTTTATCAAAGCTTAGTAAATATTAGCAAACAATATACAGATATAAAGCACAAGTTAAAGGCAATAAACTTTTAAAGATTTAAAGGTTTATTTTATTTTTATTGGAAAGTCAGATATACAGAGAGGAAGAGAGACAGAGAAGATCTTCTGTCCATTGTTTCACTCCCCAAGTGACCACAATTGCAGGAGCTGAGCCAATCCAAAGACGGGAGCCAGGAACCTCTTCTGGGTCTCCCATGCAGTTGCAGTGTCCCCAGGCCTTGGGCCATGCTTGATGCTTTCCCAGGCTACAAGCAGGGAGCTGGATGAGCAGTGGGGCTGCAGGGATTAGAACCGGCACCCTCCTGGGATCCCAGTGCATGCAAGGTGAGAACTTTAGCTGCTGGGCTACCATACTGGGTCCAAGGCAATAAACTTGAAGAGCAAATTCAGAAAGGATGGACTTTGAACAGTTTGTTTATTATTTGTTATTAACAATTTAAGGCATTATACATAACAGAAGTATCATTTCTTATTTAACTGTGTAGCCTAAAAATTTGTTAATATATTTTACATTACTTTTTCATACCGGTATAATCACATTCTTTAGATTATTATAAAAATGTTCACGTGCATGTTGGAATCCTGTCATCAACTATGGTGAAGTGATGATTAATGTAATCAACAGTGTGTGCCAAATGATATCATGTCATCCAATTTTGATAAAATGTTAATTAATAACTATAGAAAAGAGGCAGTTAAGGTCATAATTCTTCATTACTCTTTAAGAGTTTTCCCCCTTGGAAGAGGTAATAGTAGCCATTTATGCTTGCAAAGAAATAATGTCATATATAGGTGAGCTAATGTAATTCTGGCTTGAGGAGTATTGAAATAGATGTTCTGAGAAAAGCATGGGTGTGTCTATTTTAACATAAATCTATTTGGAAAAACTATTAGCTTGAGTTGACAGAATAGTACAGGGAAATGAAGAAAGAGACCAAAATGTAGGAAATGCTACTGAGGCAAGTGATCTAACCAGAAACCTAGAGATCTGAGACTTAATACCAGCTGGCACAGAAAGCAGTGAAGAGCTGTGATTTGAGAATTAAACATAAAAAATGTTGTTCTAGTTTGATTTAACTCTAAACGTTTCTGATGATGCTTTCTACCATATTAAGGAGCTTCTTTATAAATGCATGAAAATGTTTGTGGAAATTCAGTTCCCACTTCTAAAATAAAACCTTAACAATAAGACAATAAAACATAGGTGTCCACTGTCAAGCATTATTACATTTTTGGTCAATTTTTTTCTGTAGATCATGGTCTCTAGCATAAGAAACTAAATAATAAAACCCATATTGTTCTATTATGATAAAGATTTACAGAAAAAGAAACAAAGTTCTATAACCGGTAAAGTAGTTTAGCACAATAACTGTATAAATAAACTGAATAGTATCCCTTATGTCAGAGTTAAGGAGATAAATATACTATAATTTAAAATACAGACTTTAAACATTAATCTATTTAGGCTACTATAGCAAAGTGTCTTACAGTGTGCAATGTGTCAACAGCTAAAATGCATTTCTCACGGTTGTGTGGACTGTGAGGTCCACGATCAAGGTGATGTGGACCTTGATCTGCTGTTGAGGACCCCTTGCTGGAGAACCACGCCTTCTCGCTGTCTCCTCACGTGGAGAAAAGAGCATCTCTGGATTCCTTCATATGAGAACTAATATTTTATGAGGGCCATGTCCAAGTAATACAATAATTTCCTGGTAAACTGTCCACCTTTTAATATCTTTGCCTTAGGAAGTTAAGACTTTAACACGCATGTTAATAACAGTCGCGACAGGATGGATGTGTGTTTTACAAATTATGACAAAAAGATTCATGTGGAATATTAAATTGATATAGATATTATAGGATGTAGAGTGACAAACCCTTTGTATTATCACCTCACAATTTCTATTTTGTAAATGTAAAATTCTTATGGAGTGCTTAAAAAATGATCTTTCATCTCAAATTGAAATTTAATCTGTATAATTCCAAAGATGGCATAGAAATAAAGTCATTGCAACATATATATAAAAAAGTAAAAATAGTTATTCTTAATATTCACATTGCATATCATGATGTGTGAGGAATACTAATGAGAATAGCAAATCATTATAAAGAAAGATCATAAATACTCAAACAGATCCAGACACATTTGGAAACTTGTAGATGACAGACTTATCATTGCATTTTAATGGAGAGTGTTTGATAAGAGGCTCTAGGGTTGTAATTCCTGCATGCAAAAGTGAAGTTGTATTCATGCATCTCAACATTGTCACGCTTTTTGTCACCCCCCAAATAGATATTGAAATGTGGAAAGCAGGTCTCTGAAGTTTTCTGGAAAAAAAATCCAATAATTTATGAACTCATATCTTAATAGTTATTTACCATTAATTTACTGCTGTCTAATCATCATAAGTTAGCACATTGAAAATGAAAAGAGATGTAAAAATCTTAAGGAAAATCTCTCATGCATATGACCTTAAGAGGATTATCCAGCATACAGCAAAAATGTCTACGAATGTGGGCCAAGGAAAAACATGGCGACGTACAAAAATGAAGCACGGATCATTAAATAATACATGAGAAACTCCTTGTCAGTAATCACGGAAATGCAAATTAAAGCTACAGTATGCTGCAATTTTACACTCATTGAAATGCAAAAATTAAATACATTGGCTGTGAGACCTCATAAATAATCCTGGAAATATACAAGGTTTTGGAAATAATATTCAGCATATCCTGTGATCCAGCAATTGTATTTTTTGAATCAAAAATGAAATGAAATGGAAATTCACACTCATTGTATTGGCAAAGTGTAAAATAACATACAAGACTAAAGGTGATCAATAAAGGAGTAAAATGAATGGAAATTGCAGTAGCCGAAACATGCACCTGTGCCCATATGGGATCCTTGCAAGGGGAGGATTAAAATTTGAGCCATTGCGCCATGTCCCCCAAATGAAAATTTTAAATGGCAACATTGTGTATAATGAAAAATTAGATGCAACCTTAAGATGTTTATCTCAGGAAAAGTGGTAAAGAAGAAATCTAGAGAAATCTCTAAAAAATCAATACTTAATGAAAAGGAGTAATGTAGCAGCTAAAATATAAGATACAAGCATATTATTAGAAGCTGGAGGCACTGGCATGATGGCTCAAAGTCTAAATCTAACTTTGACAGTGTTGGGATCCCCTGTAGATGCCGGTCCATGTCCTGGATGCTTTACCTCCCATTAAGCTCCCTTTTTATACCCTGGTTAAGCAGTAGAAAATGATGCAAAACCTTGGACCCTGCACTTGCGTAAAAAACCTGGAAGAGGATCCAGGGTCATGGCTTAGAATCAGCTCAGTTCCAGCCGATATGGCCATTTGAGAAGTGAACCAGTGGATGGAAAATCTATCTGTTCTTCTCTCTGTAAATCTGATCTTTCTAATAAAAACAAACTAATATTGAAAAAGAAAGAGAAAGAAAGGAAGAAAGGATGGGAGTGAGAGAGGGAGGAAGAAAGGGAAGGAAGGAAAATGGGAAATGGAATTGGGATTAGAATCAACAGTCTAGTTATGGGACATCTACATTGCAGGGAGAATCTTAATCCATACATCACAGTGCTGGTTCGTCTCAGATGTTCTGGGCAAAAGCAGATTGTGCAACAATGCTGTTAGATAAGAGTATAAACTGCATACAGCATAAATTAAACATTCACTTCACAGTGATTTATCCAAGTTGTGCTTTTGTTTTACTTTAATACACTGACTTTGCTCATTGTGCTCATGGTATCATGTAATTTAACATGTGGATTTTATTTATAGTGTTGTCTGAATCATTTTAAATATCAAATATCATTGATCACGCAGCTGTTTGTGGAATCTTACTAATGGCAACACGGAACTATCTTAACCAGTGTGACACTGAGGTTTTAAATGGATTCTATGTTGATGATGCTGAAAGGATCAGGACTCATGAAAAAAACCTAGTTGACATTAATTAATCTTCTTCACAATCTCATGCTGCTTTATTAGTCCTTGATTTAAGAAATTACTTCATTCTGTTTAGATATACTATAATTGCTGTCCAAACATATCACAGAAACCAAACTCAATTCCTCTTAGTGGGACACTGTAGGATTCTTCTACAGTAATCCACAGCCTTGATGCATAGTTGCTTCTGAATTAAACAGTCCTTTCTTCGCACAATATTTTCCCTGTCTTTAAGGGTGTCTTTTAAATTTCTTTCAGAAATTTGATACAACTACATAAAAGTGAAGATGACATGGATGTTTCCAAGAAGGTGAAAGCCCACTGGATTTCTTTGGGCCTGGAAGATGTACAGTTAGTAAATTATTCTGTGCTGCTTAATCTACCAGGCCCTTCTCCCAGCACTGTGACTCTGAGCAGCAGCGGCCAATGCTTTCATCCTAGTGGCCAGCCTTGCAACGAGGATGCCAGAAAAGATAGCAGCCAAGACCTGCTCTCCTCGTACGCAGCTTACTCTGCCAAAGGAACTCTCGAGGTAATATGGCCATTTGTCTCTGTCATTTACAGTGAACTAGAATTAGAAAACAACAGCTTTCATCTAAATGGAACTAACTGGCAAGATGCAGCATACAAAAGTAACCATTAAATGTTCTCAGTGTGGAGGTGCCAAGAAAGGGAAGGAGATTTGGATTGCCTGACCCTTTTCTTGTAATATTTTGAAAGTGAAAACATGTTAGGAGAATTTAATTCTCAGGTGTTGAATGTGTGACTGAGTCATTCACGTTTTGCTCACCAGTGCCAGTCTATTTCATCCTATGGTTTTGAAGAAGCACATTTTAATATATGGAGTGGAGAGAAAGGATAAATGGAGGGAACTGTGTTTTGTGATTACTAATGCACACACAGAATTATTTATATATTTAGGATGTGAAATGTGTCACATTCCCCTCTCATGATAGGAAATGTATGAGACGGATACTGAACTCTCCGATAGATAGGATTATTTGTTCACTGTTTCTAGTTTAACAGTTTTTTGATGAGGGTACTTTGCTTGTTGTTTGTCACTTTAACTTTGTTTTTTGTTTTGTTTTGTTTTTTGATGTCTTGCTAAGTGCAAGCATTCTAGAGTCATATGTACAGTTTTAAATTGCAATTCCTTAGTTCTGTTTGGTGATATAATAGCTCCAATTTGTAAGGTTATTATAAGAATTAAATGATAAATGTATGAATTTTAATATATATGTATATGCTGAAATATAAATATCAATTTGAAACTGTTAAGTAAATAAATCCTGGCAGATCAAATAGTGAAGATGGTGTATAAATTAGGAATAACATTGTCTTTTTCCTCAGATAGACAAGCTTTCTATCTCCATGTAGAAGTATAGTGGTAATATACTTTTTACATAACTAAATTGCATTATTAAATACAAATAAAATAAAGCTATATATCTGACTTCTATCATGGTGCACATTTTTAAGACTTTAACTCAAACTGTGATTATAAATGGGATTTTAAGTTATTTTTACAGAAATTCTAAAAATAGTATGAATGCTTGCTTATATTATATATATTACAACATACATATTGCAATATATATTCATTTAAGGAGGCAGAGGATGAAAAATCAACTTAACTGGCTGCATTGTGTAGTGTATACGAACTTTAGCAAAAGCCCTCCCTATAATCAGCACAGTCTTGAGACAAATTTTACCATTAATTAAAATATACTACAATGTTAGATGTGGTGGTTCCAGCTTAGAAGCCATGGAATTGGATTTGAATTACATAAACGTATTTATTTGAGTTACATATTTGAATTACATATTCATATTCTTGGTAGGCAGTATCAAAATAGGTCAGTATCTGAGTATTCACAGAAACAACAGGCAGTGATCTCTCCTTGATTCAGAATGTTGGGCAATTTGTTTGACATTCACATTGTAATATATGTGTCTGTATCTAAAACCACAGTCCTTGTATTTTGTCATTCTGGATGAATTTACCCAACAATTTCTTTGAAGGTCACGATGCTTATGATAAAGCAAGTCTAGGCTGGTCATTCTCTTATGTTTTATCTTTCAGTGCTAAGTCATTTCACACCAGTCTCTAAGACTGGCATTATGATGCACAGTTAATTTGCAAATGACAAACTTGGGCTATCAAACAGTGGTTTTATATGTTCGCCACCAAAAAAAAAAGGCTCATTATGCTTTTTGCAAAATTATTTAGTTTTCTTAATCTTGTTACTGGAACGGTGTGATGTTGCTTTATGTACTCATGTAACTATAGCTCAGAGATTTTCCTATATATTTATCATTTATGAATGTTACACATTTCCTGTCATTTCATAGTTAAAAAGGTCAGCTGCAGATTCACATGATTATTCAGTTGTCCATAAAGTTATAAGATCTGCTGGACACCTCTCATCATGTGTAAATGACTTAAAACAAACAGCCACTTAAAAAAAACTGATTTATTTTTATTGGAATGTCAGATATGCAGAGATGAGGAGAGACAGAGAGGAAGATCTTCTGTTTGCTGGTCCACTCCCCAAGTGGCCGCAATAGCCGGAGCTGAGCTGATCTGAAACCAGGAGCCAGAATCTCTTCTGGGTCTCCCATACGGGTGCAGGGTCCCAAGGCTTTGGGTTGTCCTCAGCTGCTTTCCCAGCTGCAAGCAGGGAGGTGGATGGGAAGCAGGGTGATAGGATTAGAACCAGCGCCCATATGGGATCCCTGTGTGTGCAAGGAGAGAACTTGAGCTGCTAGGCTATCCATGCTGGGCTCAAAACTACCTGTAAATGATTTATTTACTTTTTCATTAAAACGCCATTTGCAAAAAGAAAGAGACAGAGAAATATCCTCCATTGGTGGATTCACCCCAGAGTCACAATGGCCATAGTTGATGTGATCCAAAGCCAAGAGCCAGGAGCTTCTTCGGAGTTTTCAATGTCGATTCTGGGTGCTGAGTTTTGGACCATCCTCTGTTGTATCTAGGCCATAATCAGGGAGCTAGTTCAGAAGTGGAGCAGCATGGACATGAACCAGCACCCTTATGGGATCCTGATACTTGCCTGTGGAGGATTACCTAAGCGCCATCATGCCAGCCCCAAACTGCCACTTTTTAATTAAGAAAAATTCTATAAAAAACTTTCAAGAAATATTTATTCACTTATTTGAACAGCAGAGTGACAGAGAGAGATTGGCAGAAAAAGATTCCATCGTAGTCTTTCAAACTAGTAGTAGGGCCCATAAACACAAAACCCCTTTGTGTGCTTTGAGAAGTGATCATAAAATTTAGATTAAGGGACTGATCATGACTTTTAAAATCATAATGGTAATGCAAATGAGTCACTCTAAATACGTGCTAATTTAAAGCATCTATTGAGGAAACATAAGGTATACAATGCTAATTTTTTTAAACACAAACAGTATTTCCGGTTTTAATAGCAAAGTGATTCTAAATTACTTATATGCACACAGAATATGTGCATGTAATTTCCGTACATGTTGCAGATTGATATGTTATGGAAACTCACATGGCCTAATTAATAAGGCACTATGATGTTTCTTCTGTCTGTCGATGCAGAGCCTGACTTGAATCAGTCGTGTGTGATCTCGGCCGATGATTCTGACGTGCCTCCTTTTTTATCTGAGTACCTTGTGTTTGCATGCATTTCTCTCAGGCAGCAACATTAACAAGTCCGTAAATTATTCCAGTCTATCAGCAAAACTCCCCACACAACTTTTCCTTTTGACAAGGTTATTCGCAGAAGAGGAGTGCCCCTTTTCTTTGAAAAGCTGTCATGTCCATTCATCATATGGCTATTTTGTATAAGCTTCCAATTTGCGCTTTCTGGTAACAGTCTGCACAGCATTTGTGCTATCTGAGATCTACTTCCAAAACCCACTTAATGCCAGCATGATGGATGGTGTACTTTGCAACTTCTTTGTAATTCATCCTGCACGGGAAAGGTGACATTGTTTACCCCATCATAATGACAGGTGGGTCAGTATAAGGGTCCTAAGGAAGTTGTCCTGTCAGATGCAAAATGCATATTGAAATGGATACATAAATAATTTAGTATGAGTAAGATTAGCTTCAGGGAATAAACAGTGTTTCATAGGTTTATGTAAAGGTACATATCAACTATAATATCATAAGGTTAAAGACATTTGAAGTAATTGCTGACACTGGTCAATTATAGAAAAAGAACATATGTTTCAATGTAGTTCTTGGATGTTTATTTGCTTTGTTCTGTGTGACCCATGCAGATGCAGAAAAGTCAGATACACACTTAATATTTAATAGGCAGTTGTCAGATTTGTTTTCCTGTGTTCATTTCGAGAAGTGATTTTGTTATTATTCCTACACACATTTTATGGATACTTGATTATTTGATCGGTAAACATAATTTTGCTTTTGAAAGACAGGCCAGATAATGAAATAATATGGAGAGTATCATTTTAGCAGCTTATGCATTTCATAGAAAATATAATTTTGTTAAAATATTGACCCCATCCTGTTCTGCAGAAATCAGAGCTCAAGGTCTTCCCTTATTAACTGCCCACATGTGGGTTGGCCACAGCAGTCCTGTAGGACTCAATGCACTCATCTATAAAATCGAAATAGCAATATTTCACTTAAGTACTTACTTTCGGTAATAAATCAAGTTTCTAATACTAACACGATACACAATAAGTGTTAGCTGTCTTTTATATTCATTAGAAAGCAGATGCATTTAAGTAGGGGAAATTTATAAAATCTAACAACCAAATGTATATCAATATTTGGAAGTATAAGTTTTTATCATAACTGTTATAATATCTGAATAGAGTCTTCTTGACAACTACTGATCCCTACAGAGGAAAATGACTTTGAAGGATAAATAAATAATAAAATAGAAATAACCAGATCATATTGTTTTATGTAAAATTGAGCAAAGAAATTAGAAATGGAATTCTTTGTCTTTAAAGTCATAGTGATAAATCAGGCCGAAGTGCTGCTGAAGAGTACTTGCTGGTCGTGTGGAGTCTCTGCTAACACATGGTTCAGCACATGGAATCTGAGCACTGGATGAAGTAGTTTGCCAGAAAGTCTTAAAAAGAAAAAAAAAGCTCTGAATAGGTTTGCCAAGAAACTCACATGACTACTTTTTAGTAATTAGGATAATACTTTCTTCCTCTTTTATTTTAATATATTTTCAAACAAAATCTAACTTATCAGTGTTACAGCAAAAGGCAAAATGTCATACATTTGTTCTGAGTGATTCCTGTTATAGATAAAAATACTACCAAGCTCAGGGCCGTAGAATGGAATTGTATTATTTAAACTTTTTCCTAGGTATAAAGATGATGCTGCCATGTTACCAACTTAGAAATGCGAGTTTGGTATAGTTTTACATAAAAATGACTGTGCGTTAGTTCATCTCTTTTTTTCTCTGTTGAAGAGTCCATTTTTTAGCAACAATGCATGATTGTAAATCAAATAATTGTGAACACAGCTGAATATAACTATTAAGGATGGCTCTT